AAAGAAAGAGTCCCCACTGAATAGTTATCATCTTGTCTAGATGGGTCTGGTGAAAGGAGATGGGGATAAGATTCATAAGATTGAATAGTGAATAACTGTTATCATGACTAATCGCGACTGTCACAATTGTAAAGGTTGAAGTTTTGTAACAAAAAAAAGGGGAGTGGTTAATCTTACAGTCCAGAAACAGAGGACCCTAGGACCATCAAGAGAGTAACATACAAATAGAATGCAGGACCTTATCCAGAGAAGCAGCAGCGCCAGAGATGGGAGTCCGAGCTGGGGGCATAGAGACGGGTAGCGGCTGAGGACTCTAGATTCATCAACTAAGAAGAGGTGGCCAGGAGCCGACTTGCAGAGTGTGTCCTTTGGAGATGTAATTTATTTTATATGCCTGAGTGGGTTTTTTTGTTTGTGTGTTTTTTAAAAAAAGCTAAAGTGGATAAAGAGAAATACTTTTAACTGATGGTATATGAAGGGGATTATAATCAGTGTAATGAAACAAGTTACATGAATTGTTGAATGTGAAACTGATGATGTGCCCTGTAAACTTTCACTCAATCCACAATAAAAACCTTAAATAAATAAATTAAAAAAGTGCATGTAAATATACCAACTTTTGTTGTAATCAGTGGCCTCAGTTATACGTTTCTAGTCTCATTCTCTTGTAATCTTAATATTTTATTTCTTTTAAAGCAGTAGTTTACCATAGTGTACAGGTCAGCGATAGAAGAAGTTTGCGGTTTCTTTTGATGGAAGTGTTCTTTTTTGTTGTTCATGTACAATTGATCAATTTTCTTCTGTTTCTTTTAGTAACTATATCAGAGTGTGAGGTATAGATTCTCAGAATCCAGAAAAATCATCATGAAGTTATATGTATTTCTGGTCAATACTGGAACCACCCTAACATTTGACACTGAACTTACAGTGCAAACGTGAGTTATTTTATATATTCTCTTCCTTTTTGCAGTTTGTATGTATGTAAAACATTTTAGAAAATAATAATTGATTTTTAAAAAAAATGAATCCATTTTGTTAACTCTTTTATCCTTAAGCAATCTCTTAATTAATTTATCCAGTGGCATTGTATATTTATCCTATGGCAATGTCATTTTTCTTTGAAATGGTATTGCCATTTTTCAGTTATACTTTGTACTGTTTACATTAATTTGCATTACTATTGTCCACAATAAACAGACTTATCCATAAGTAATAACAACAGGGAAACTGACTTCCAATAAAGCTAATATTGTAAGTGAGTTCCTAAACCTCCTTGGTCATCTGTATATCTTCCTTGGAGAAATACCTATTTAAATCCTTTGCCCATCTTAAAATATGTTTAGTTGTAGCTTTTAGATATTTCCAAATATGTCCTCCCTGTTCTATAGATTATTTCTTCTTTTCTTGAAGAAGGTCTTGTTCTATTGTTTTGGTCTTTGGCTTTTGTTACACTGTGTGAATGAATAAAGTAAATAGGATTTGTTTTGTGAATAAGAAAATAAAGGCTTAATTTTTTAATCCAAATTAGTGGGACACCAACTTTTCAAGGATTTCCAATATTTGATAATGAATTTCTCCCTATGTTTGTGGAAAGTGGGGAGGGTTCTCAGATAAAGGAAGAAAATAGCCTTAATGACAGAATTGCTTTATCTTTTTAAAGGACTATTTTTCATTAAATGTTGTTCTTCCTCTAACAGAAAGAGTTTTTTGAAAGATAGACGATGCTTAAAGGAATTTTCATATGGTTAGGACATAGTGTTTGCAGTTGATGTGATGTATTCTGATACTTTCAACATACAGATGCTAGTTTAAGAATATTTTGTAGCTACGTTATATTTAGAGGACAAGTGTGTGTGGCACACAAATGTTTTAGTATCTTCCAAGGTCAGCTGATTGATTATGGAATCCAGCTCAAGAAACAAGATGTTCATATTTTTTTCCTGTTCTGTGGAAAAGTTTTACTATTTCAGCCTTAGAATTAAAGTCATTAGCCTGAAAGTGTGTGTCATTGTGGCAAATGTGAGTAACAATTTTTTTTTTCTCTTAAAGTGTGGCCGACCTTAAGCATGCCATTCAAAGTAAATACAAGATAGCTATTCAGCACCAGGTGCTGGTGGTCAATGGAGGTGAATGCATGGCTGCAGATCGAAGAGTGTGCACCTACAGTGCGGGGACGGTAGGTGTCCAAGAGCTCTTTTATATGAGGATTTTCCAGCTTCCCATTTAGATTGGGAAGTAGGAACTCAGTGCTCAAAAGTAAGGTTTACATACTTCATGTATGAAGATGATATTAAAATATTTTTTGTGTATTTCAGTAATTGTCAAGTAATGCATATTATTCCAATTTTTTGTGCTTTTTTTTTAATACAGGACACAAATCCAATTTTTCTTTTTAATAAAGAAATGATATTATGTGATCGGCCACCGGCTATTCCTAAAACTACCTTTTCAACTGAAAATGACATGGAAATAAAAGTTGAAGAGTCTCTTATGATGCCTGCAGTTTTCCACACTGTAGCTTCAAGGACACAACTTGCAGTGGTAAGATATAAACAGTTATTTGGAAGACTACAGTGTAAATCAGTCCTGTGAACAATAGAATGAAATGATGCCCGGTCTGACTCTAGCTTTGTAATAATTGCTATATTTGAGCTCATTATTGAAGCCACTCAGTATAAACCCATCTCCCTCTTTTTCACTGTCCCTTTATTTTACTAAGCATGATGTTCTTGTACCGGAACCGGTCCTTCCTGATACACGAGAAAAGGATTGGCATCCTAGTTATTAAGGAGCATTCTGACTGTACGTTTCAAAAGACCGATTTGTTTCTTGTTCTGGCATTCCATGGCCCCAGCCCATGGTCTGTTTAATTCCCTTCAACAATTCCATAATTCATGATCATCAATTCTTCTTCGATCTTCCGTAGTTGTTTCGAACTTTTGCATGCATAAGAGGCAATTGAAATGTTAGTAAGTTGGGCGTTTATTTAACACAATAAGTAGTCTTTTGCAGCAGATTTTCCCAATGCAGTATGTTTATTTGCTTTTTGCTACCTTCTTGGAAGTTGAAATGAAATCTTGGTTCCTATTGAAAAGAAATCTTTGACAGCCTGAGTATTTTTCCACTAACATGATGTTGCTTATTGGTCCAATTGTGGATTAGTTTATTAGGCATTAGTAAAGATCAGCTAACAGAGATTGCTTCTAAAAAATCAAAATACAAATAGTGTAGCAGTCTAAATTACATGTTGTTAGGTGCCTTTGAATTGGTTTCAACTCACAGCGACACTATGCACAACAGAATGCAACACTGCCTCTTCATGGGATGTCCTCACAATTGCTATTAACGCTATAAACCATTTCTGCCACCACTGTACCAGTTTATCTCTTTGTGGCCTTCTTTTTCATTGACCCTCCACTTTACCAAGCATGATGTCGTTCTCCAAGAACTGGCCCCTCCTGATAATGTGTCCGAAATATGAAGTTGCCATTCTGGCTTGTATGGAGCATTATGACTATACTTTTCCAACAGAGACTTGCTTATTCTTCTGGCAGTTCGTGGTAATTTTAATATTCTCCATATCATAATCCATACATCAATTCTTCTGTGGTCTTCCTTATTTATTGTCCAACTTTCAAATGCATGTGAGGCTTTTGAAAATACCATGGTTTGGGTCAGGCTTACCTTAGTCTTCAAACTGACACTTTGCCCTTGAGCACTTTAAAGAGGCCCTATGCAGTGGATTTACTTTGTACAACATGTCAGTTTATTTCTTGACTGCTGCTGCTTGCATGAGTGTTAATAGTGGATCCATGCAAACTAAAGTCTTCATCAACTTCAATATTTACTCCATTTATCAATATATATTGGTTCAGTGGTTAGGATTTTTGTTTTCTTTATATTGAAGTACAACCCATAACAAAGGCTGTGATGTTTGATCTTATCAGTAAGTGTTTTAAGTCCTCTTCACTTTCAGTAAGGAAGATTTTTTTTCATTTGCATGTCACAGGTTGTTAATGAGTCTGCCTCAAATCCTGATGCCAGGTTCTTCATATAATCCAGCTTCTTGGATTATTTGCTTAGCATACAGATTGAATAAATATGTTAAAAAGAATACAACCCTGACACACATCTTTCCTGATTTTAAACCACTCAGTGTCCCATTGTTTTATTCAAATGATTGCCTCTTGGTCTATGTACAGATTCCTCAGGACAATTAAGTATTTCTGAACATTCGTTCTTAATGTTTTTCAAAGAACGTCATGATTCACACTGTTGAAAGCCTTTGCATAGTCATTAAAGCACAGGTAAACAACTTTTTGATATTCCCTGCTTTCAGCCAAGATCCATTTGACATCCACAGTGATATCCTTCATTCCATGCCCTTGTCTGAATCCATCTTGCATCTCTGGCAGTTCCCTGTTAATGTACTATTTTAACTGTTTTTTAATTATCTTTAGCAAAATTATGCTTGCATGTGATACTAATGATATTATATTGTCTGATGATTTCTGCATTCTATTGGGTCACTTCTCTTTGGAATGGGCACCAATCAGTTGACCCCAGGTATTCCAAGTTCCTTGGCATAGTGCTGCTTCAGTTTGTTGGAAGATTCAAATTTTTATTCCATCAATTCCTGGAAACTTGTTCTTTACCAATGCCTCTAGTGCACCTTGAACTTCCTTCAGTCCCGTTCTTTACCAATGCCTCTAGTGCACCTTGAACTTCCTTCAGTCCCGTTGGCTCTTGATCATATGTTACCTCTTGAAATGGGTTGTATGTCGACCATTTGTTGTCAGTACTGTGATTCTGTATATTCTGTCTTCTTTTTATGCTTTCTGCCTCATTCAATATTTAGGCCAGAGAATCCTTGATCGTTATAAGTCAAGCCTAAATTTTTTCTTCAGTTCTTTCTGCTTGAGAAATGCCGAGTGTGTTCTTTCTTCCCTTTTGGCTTTATAACTCCAGATCTGCATATTTTATTATAATATTTTACTTTGTCTCTTTGAGCTGCCCTTTGAAATTTTTTGTTCAACTTTTTACCTCCTCATTGCTTCCGCTTGATTTAGCATCTCTACTTTACTATCCCATCTTGCTGAATGAGTCTCATCTGACATTCATATTGGTCTTTTCTTTCATCCTGTATGCTGTTCTTGATGTCATCTCACAACTATCCTCGTCTTCAGTCATTAGTGCTTAATTCATCAAACCTATTCAGATGATCTCTAAATTCAGGTGGGTTGTGGTAAGGCCATAGTTTAGCTCTTATGGACTTGTTTTAAATTTCTTCACCTTTAACCTGAACTTGCATATGAGCAGTTGATGGTGTGTTGCACAGTTGTCCTCTATCCTTGTTTTCCCTGATAATAATGATCTCTTCCCACAGATATAGTCAGTTGATTTCTGTGTAATCCATCTGCTAAGGTCTATGTGTATAACTGTCTTTTATGTTTCAGAAAGGCATTTTCGATGAATAAGTCATTGATCTTATAAAATTCTATCATGTGGTCTCCAGCATCTTTTCTATCACTTTATTTTCCAGCTATGTATCCTTCCTCTTTGTTTACAGCCTTTGCATTCCAATTAGTAGTAATTTTCAACACATCTTGATTGCATGTTTGATCAGTTTAGACTGAAGAAGTTGGTTGCTAAGTGTTGTCAAGTCAGTTCCAACTCATAGCGACCCTGTGTAGCGTTTCTGAGGAGCAGTTGGTGGGTTTGAACTGTTGGCCTTGTGAGTTTGCAGTCTAGTGCTCATCCTGCAGCGCCACCCAGGAGTCCGAAGATGTTGGTAGAATTCTTCTATTTCATCATTCATGTAGTGGGTGGTGCGTAAATTGAATATTAGTGGTTATTAGTGGACATCTTTTTAAGCTCTTTTATATGGATATTGTCCAATCACAAATAGCTTCAAGATCTTGAAATGTTGTTTTTGATGATGACTATGAAGCCATTCCACTTCAATTTCTTGTTTTCCTGCATAGTAAACCATATGGTGGTCAGATCCAAAATTGCAAATAACAGTCCATTTCAGCTCACTAATGCCTAGGATATTGATCTTTGTGTCTTCCATTTAATTAAAAAAAAATTTTTTTTTTAAAGTTTTTATTGTGGACTGAATGAAAGTTTACAAGGCATATCATCAGTTTTACATTCAACAAATCATATACCTTGTTTCATTACATTGATTATAATCCAGTTTTTCTCTCTATCCACTTTAGCTTTTTAAAAAACAAACAATCAAACAAAAAACCACTCAGGCATATATAATAATTTACATCTCCAAAGGGCACATTCTGCAAGTCTGCTCCTGGCCACCAGTTCTTAGTCCTTCTCTTCTTAGTCCATGAATCTAGAGTAAACAGCTGCTCCCCCTCTCCATGCTCCCATCTCTGCCTCCATCTCTGGCGCTGCTGCTTCTCTGGATAAGGTCCTGCATTATGCTTGTTCGTTCCTCTCTTGATGGTCCTAGGGTCCTCTGTTTCTGGACTGTAAGATTAACCACTCCTCTGTTTTTGTTACAAAACTTTTACCTTTACAATTGTGACAGTCACGATTAGTCATGATAACAATTGAAAGATTATTGAAAGATTCTCTGGGCAAATTATTGAATGATGCAGGAAGCATCAAGAGAAGATGGAAGGCATACACAAAGTCACTGTACCAAAAGGAAATGGTTAATGTTCAGCCATTTCAAGAGGTAGCATATGATCTAGAGCCATGATACTGAAGGAGGAAGTCCAAGATGCATTGAAGGAATTTACAAAGAACAAAGCAACAGAAATTTATGGAATAAAAATTGAAATCTTTCAAGAAAGTGAGGCGGCACAAGAGGCACTCACTCATCTCTGCCAAGAAATTTGGAAGACAACTATCTGGCTGACTGGAAGAGATCGTATTTGTGATCATTCCAAAGAAAGGTGACCCAACGGAATGTGGAAATCATTGGACAATCTCTTTGATATCTCAAGCGAGTGAAGTTTTGCTAAAGGTAATACAGAAACGGCTACAATCATACATTGACAGAGAACTTACAGAGGTTCAAGCTGGATTCAGACGAGGCCATGGAATGAGGGATATCATTGCTGATGTCTGATGGATCTTGGCTGAAAGCAGAGAATATCAGAAAGATGTTTACCTGTGCTTTATTGCCTACGCAAGGCTTTCAGTTGTGTGGATCATGACAAACTATGGACAACATTGCGAAGTATGAGTATTCTGGAACACTTAATTGTGCTTAAGAGGAATCTGTACCTGGACCAGGAAGCAGTTGTTTGAACAGAACATGGGAACATTGAATGGTTTAAAATTAAAAAAGGTGTGCGACAAGGTTGTATTCTTTCACCATACTTATTCAATTTGTATGCTGAGCAAATAATCTGAGAAGCTGGGTTCTATGAAGAAAAACGTGGCATCAGGATTGGAGGAAGACTCATTAACAACCTGTGATATGCAGAGGATGCAACCTTACTTGCAGAAAGTGAAGAGGACTTAAAACATTTACTGATGAAGATCAAAGAGTACAGCCTTCGGTATGTAAA